TTAAATAACCTCTACCTTTTGGACAACCAACTTATTTGCACTACCTATTACAAAAGTTTCTATGAAAAATTAGATTTTGATGACCCTTGAAGCCAAGAATATCATTAAACAGAACTAGAAAAAGAAACTCTAGTTAATTGCAAAGTTTGTAATCACCAACTACCTAGAATGAGAATGCACAGATTAGAAAGTATTTGAGAAGAGCTTTAATTCTATAAACTAGAGTATATGTATATCTATAAAGTAACTCAAGATTTACTTTATAACTAAAATTATAAGATTTGGACAAAAATTAAGCATTACACTGAATCTACCTATAATACTAGACACTAATATAATCTTAACTAAACTAGAATACACAGACTTGTTTAAGTTTTATTAGAGAAAGAAGATCCTGTTCAAATTACAGAAACATTATAGAAACAAGAAGATAACTAATATAACTGTACATGAACCTTTGATAAAATTACTATCTTTTTTAGATCAAATTATGAGGAAGTAAATTTGATCGAGAATAAAGAAACTAACCTACAAAGAATTTTACAAGAATTATTTGATACTTCTCTACCAAACTTTGACTCTTGCAAAGCTATAGAAAACCTATATAAAAACTTTAAAAGAAAAGTTGCTTTTTGTTTAGAGTGCCTTCTTGCTAAGCAGATTATAGAGCTAGACCCAAACTAAGGATTTTGTAATGAGTGTTATCAAGAACTTAATAAATTTATACTTTCTAAAGAAACAGACCCAGAATCATCTACATTTAATTCTTTAATAATAGTTGAGGAAGAACCAGAACCTATACCTAAGAATTAACAACTTATTAAATATCTAGAAGCTTGTGTTCAATATCTAGAAAAATAAATAAACAAATGACTAATTTCTTTAAAAACCAAATCCTATACTACCAAGAATGTGTCGAATACTACACTTAATTATTTGCTTGCTGAAATTTTTAAACTGTTCTAACCAATTATATCTATTTTGGCCAATAGGGTGCTTTATTTTTGTATCACATACCCAGCCAAATTTTTAAATTTATTAATAAAATTGATTAACTTTAAAAGAATATAACTTTATAAATTTTAATTAACTAAAAAAACTAACTTCATAACTTTGTTCTTTAGGTTTGATTTTATTATTTTATGAAGAGATTTGGTTTATAACTATTTTAGTTTTTTATTTATAAGCTTTTAAAGATTATATATTTTATATATTAATTTAAAGTTGTCTGTATTGTAGTAAATTATATATATTTAGATTTTTTAAAACTTTAAACAAAGTTTCTTAATAATTACTTAACCAAAATTAATAAAATTTTTTTTATTCTAATTCTATATATTTATAGAAAAAAACTAATTGAATTTGATAAGATGTATATCAAAAAAAATTCACTTAAAGTTTGGAAAGAATTAGTTTTATCTATTGTGGTTTTAAATTTTTAAAAATTTTGAATAAAGTTTTCTTAATAAAACCTGACCAAATTTGATGAGAGTTTTTTATTTTAATTCTACACATTCATAGAATTAGAACATAAAAAAAATTCATTGAATTTGGTCAGGTGGTTATTGAAAAAACTTTACTTAAAGTTTAGAAATAATGCCTTATTTGTTAGTAAATTAAATACTTTTAGATTTTTTAAAACTTTAAGCAAAGCGTTTCCAATAACTACCTAACTAAATTCAGTAAAAGTTTTTATTTTAATCCTACACATTTGTATAATTAAATAAAAAATTTGATATAATGTGTTAAAAAAACTTTGCCCAAAGTTTAGAAAAAATCAGATTTGTTTATTAGTAAATTAAGTGCTTTTAAATTTTTTCAAACTTTGAGCAAAGTTTACCCAGATTCAATGAGAATTTTTTGGTTTAATCTTACGAATTAAACTTCTATCAAATCTGGAAAACATGCAAAAAATGTCTACACCCGTGATGAATTTTGATTGACCGGGTATGCTTAGATCATCAAACAGCGTGGATCTTCATCTAACATCTTGATGGGTAAATAGATGTTATCCTGACTACAAAATAGAATAAAAATTTATTAAGTATGCCCACTGTTATATAAAAAAAATAAAAAATTAAAATAAATGGTTACGTATCTTTTGAATTAAAAAAAAAAAAAGCAATCGACGCATAATAAATAAGTAAATATGTGTCCGTATTATTTCATTAACAATCACTTTATAGACAACTTACAGACAAGATTATTTTACAGACGGTTAATTCACAGACAATATATATTGTACCTGTCAAGAAAATCTCTACCCGGGTATTATTATATTACCCAGTTATCCGGGTAATTTATTACAGGCGACTGATATTTCCACACTCCTTTTTTGATATTTCCACACCTATATAGATCACTTTTTTTAAAAACTTTAATCGAAGGTATCCCGACGACCACCTGATCAAATTCGATGAATTTTTTTATTAGAATTCTACAAGTATACAGAATTCAAATAAAAAAATAATTCATCGAATTTGGTCAGGTAGCTATCGAGATACCTTCAATCAAATTTAGAGAAAATTTTGCCGCGGCTATTATTTTAATAGACGTTTAGATTTTTTTAAAAACTTTGATCGAAGGTATCTCGACAACCAGCTGATCAAATTTGTTTTATTTGAATTCTGCATAATTGAAGAATTCTAATAAAAAAATTTCATCGAATTTGATCAGGTGGTCGTCGAGATACCTTCGATTAAAGTTTTTTTAAAAAAAGTGATCTACGTGGTACATGGGTGTGGAAATATCAAAAAAGAGGTATGGAAATACCAGTCTACCAGGGTACAATCTCTAGCAGACAATATATTTCGCTGACAATTTTTCTATAAATTGCACCAACTTTAAATTTAAACTTAACCCTAACGACAATGACTAGAATTAATTTGTCTGTGAAATCAGATGTCGGTCTATGAAACAAACATATTTGTTACTTAATCGACTATAAAATAGCTTTGCCTGTAATTTAATTCTCTGCGAACTAAGTTGTCTGTGAAGCAATTGTTGATGAGATAATATTACTAAATAAATTATTAAATAAAACCACAAATAAAATCGAATTCATGTATCTAAATAATTACAATAAATGCTTAAGACAGCTTGTTGATACATAGCGAGAATAGTTTATGTGTTCTCACCTGATTTCGTTCCATCATACGATATTACGTATCTCGTAACTCATATGGAGCAATCCGGGTTTTGCTCCATATGGGGCAACCCGGGTTATAAAAAATAACTTTGCTCCGGGTTATTATATAATTCTTAAAATCTCAACCCACTCCAACCTTAAATTGAGTATGTTCTGGGCCCTACCGTTCGGTAATCCATGGTACCCCTGTATATCACAGCATATACATATATTATACTGTTTATATTATATGTTTGATTATTTAATAACGGACTTGATTAAGTGTTTGACTGTCAAATTTTTGCTTGATTGTGCCAAGCACTAAGCGGAATTTTAACAAATAATATAAAGTAAAATTTCTTACAATTTTTTGATAGTCCTGCCTGTCATTTGCAGAGCATAATGGCATGATTTAAAAAAAATCATGCCACAATAGCATGCCATATGGCATATTAACTTTCTTAGCAGTCACCTCACGCCTTTTAGTTTGGGAGATTTTAATCCGGATCAAATTATTCGATAAAATACGAATCATATCATATAATGAAATTTTTGGGGCAATTAGAACTGTTATTAAGAACTTGTCATATGGGCGGAAATCTTCAATTTTGTGATTAGTTTGTGATTATTTAAGTTGAATGATGAGATTAAATAGGATTTGAGCCAATAATATATATGATACAGTGTGATTACTAATATTAAAAGTGATTACTTGTCGGTGATTGTAAAACGTTACTTATCAGTTACTTATCAGTTTTTTATGAGCAGTATACCGAACAGATTAGCTAAAAAAAAACCAGAATGATCCAAAATTGATCCGTTACTTATCAGTTTTTATGAGTATAATCACCTAATTTTATATAGTCAGCATTCTACTAAAAATTTCCGCCCATATGTGTAACGATTTCACGTCATATTTTCATAATTTATCTACAACAATTCTGATAAAAAAAAAAAAACGGTTGATATAAACCAGGTTATCGGTTTATTTTAAAAATTCTATTTTAATTTTATATGATCTCATTGTGAGGGCAATCATATGAAAGTCCGAAAACTGAAAATCATATCTATTATCGTTATTATTCTTTTTTAAGTGATAGCCATGCGCAATCCTAACATAGTAACTCGACACGGTGAATAACCAACATATCGGGAAGCAATCAATAGCAACGTACCGATCATGTCATACCGATGCCATATGTTAGATCAAACAGCAGAAACATACCGATCATACGACATATCAGATACTAAAATTGTAATAAAGTGAATCGAACAACGTGAGATAGGGTTGACTCTGATAACGTAAATATTGCTTAATTCGTCACAATACTCGGGACTTGGATAGTCAAAAATTTTTCCTTTCATGTAAATGATTGACAAGATTACGGCAAAACGATGTCCCGAATATTTCCCGAAGACAGTTACGGTAGTTACTAAAAGCGCGAAATAACGCGCAGGGGGTGCAATTTTCCTAATTAAGCTTAATTCGGGTCATTATTCAAAATAACGCTCTTAGGCGTTATTCGAATGCGTAGAAAGAACACTGAGAAACACAGAAAATTACAGTATATTGCAAATTGCTCAATAGCCTGAAACTACTGAAGCATTTATTTCACGGCTTTCGCCCTTTATTAATTATTATTTTTAAAGCAATCTTATACAATTCTTATTGTATATGTTTATATGTAAATAACTATATGTAAATAATGATGTAAAAAAAGTAATATTAACAAAAAGAATGAATTTTAATCGAACCAAAGAAAAAAATATATATATATTGTTTTAGAATTTTGTCAATTCTTGCAAAGTTTTTCATATTGTCTGGTTTAAATTTGTTTAAATATTTTAAGTATTCGAAAAGAAAATTGCAAGACTATTTTGTCTTACGACATTCAACTTCGCCTCCGCCCGAAACAACACCAACGCGTAAAGACGCCATCAAATTTCTAGCGGCATTAGAGTGGTCATAAACACCACCATTAAAAGCTGCCGTCATATCCTTCCCTATTGAAGCTGTTAGTATTGATCTACCACCAGGGTGTTCTTCAATAAATTCACTAACGTCATGAATAATCCCTTCTATACAAATCCAATTGTTCTCTTTCGCATTTTCCACATCTAATTGATTAGTAAAGACGAATGAAGTTATTATAAAATAAAAATAAAAAAGAAAAAAGAAAAATAACCTACATTGCTCAAAAGTATAAATTGGCAATTTATCTAATGGTATGCCCCAGTCCAATTTCAATTTCTCTCTATCTAATTTCTTTTGTTTCATTATTATCATACTTTTATTTATTTCGTTTTCAGGGAATTTCTTTAAATGGTGCGCAACACCAAAATACGATAAAAATCTAATTAACCATTTTGTTGGATCATATTGATAAAATTTAATAGCGTTTCGGTAATCCATTGGAAATTCATGATGGAAATTATGATATCCTTCACCCAAACTTAGAAGGGCAGTTATGAAGTGATCACGTGGAGTACGACGATCATCAAATGGCGTGTCGCCAAGATAGTGCGCTAATGAGTTAACACAAAATGTTGCGTGATGTACAAAAACTAGACGCAATACGGCAGCGAAAAAAAAACCTCCCTGTGACAGAAATAAATCACACAAATTAATACAAAATTGACGATGACGAAATCATATAATCACGTGGGTTGTGAAAAATTCACTTACTCGCCAGTCACCCCAACCAAAACCAGCAACCATAGTAGGAAATAAAAATCCCATAAAGAGCGCGAAAATCCAATAATTTTTGTGCTGAAACATAATCAGAGGATCAGCATTTAAATCAGAAATATCAGCCCTTCCAACACGATTAGGATTTTGCTTTAAAAGCATCCAGCCGATATGTGAGTAAAGGAGACCTTTATTTGCGTTGTAAGGGTCTGCATCAGTATCTGTCCATCGATGATGAGCTCGATGTCCTTTGCACCACCATCGGATAGAACCTTCCACAGCGCCGGAGCATGCGAGTATGAGGAATATTTCGAACGGACGAGATACTTTATATGCACGGTGAGCCCATAATCTATGGTGTCCTTTTTTTATAAATAAGAATTCATGTTAAAAATCGGCTTCGCGATGGGATGGATAAAACGACAGCAGTTACTACTTGTCTTTTCGAGAATAAATTTCACAGACCTGCTGTGATCCCCAAACCAGTTATATAGTAGTAAAAAACTGCCCATATCACTGTCTTTCTTTGTATTTCAATAAATAAAAGGCCATAAAGTGCGATCAATGGAGTTGAAAGAAGTAAAACTGCATGAATCCAATTTACATGTTTATACCAATTCTTCCATGTAATTGGGTCATCACGAATATGCCAATTTTTTGGTTTTGTTTGAGTATCAGGTGCAACCTTGGCAGGTTGTTCTGAAATAGAAAACGCCGCCATAAACTTATTTTTTGTAATCAAAAGAATGGGTTAATTAAAGGATTG